GAACGAATCCGGGCACAATGCACTTGCAATGTATCCTGTATGACTGTGTCCTGATCACACGATCAGACAATGCAGTCTTGTCGGTCGAATTCTCGCAATCAGAATGTGTTTGCGAGAATTTGAACGAATCCGGGCACAATGCACTTGCAATGTATCCTGTATGACTGTGTCCTGATCACACGATCAGACAATGCAGTCTTGTCGGTCGAATTCTCGCAATCAGAATGTGTTTGCGAGAATTTGAACGAATCCGGGCACAATGCACTTGCAATGTATCCGGGGTATGATAGAACCAGACACAATTGTCTGCATTGCTCTATCATTTCGCTCATATCCTCGCAATCAGAATGTGTTTGCGAGAATTTGAACGAATCCGGGCACAATGCACTTGCAATGTATCCGGGGTATGATAGAACCAGACACAATTGTCTGCATTGCTCTATCATTTCGCTCATATCCTCGCAATCAGAATGTGTTTGCGAGAATTTGAACGAATCCGGGCACAATGCACTTGCAATGTATCCTGTATGACTGTGTCCTGATCACACGATCAGACAATGCAGTCTTGTCGGTCGAATTCTCGCAATCAGAATGTGTTTGCGAGAATTTGAACGAATCCGGGCACAATGCACTTGCAATGTATCCTGTATGACTGTGTCCTGATCACACGATCAGACAATGCAGTCTTGTCGGTCGAATTCTCGCAATCAGAATGTGTTTGCGAGAATTTGAACGAATCCGGGCACAATGCACTTGCAATGTATCCGGGGTATGATAGAACCAGACACAATTGTCTGCATTGCTCTATCATTTCGCTCATATCCTCGCAATCAGAATGTGTTTGCGAGAATTTGAACGAATCCGGGCACAATGCACTTGCAATGTATCCGGGGTATGATAGAACCAGACACAATTGTCTGCATTGCTCTATCATTTCGCTCATATCCTCGCAATCAGAATGTGTTTGCGAGAATTTGAACGAATCCGGGCACAATGCACTTGCAATGTATCCTGTATGACTGTGTCCTGATCACACGATCAGACAATGCAGTCTTGTCGGTCGAATTCTCGCAATCAGAATGTGTTTGCGAGAATTTGAACGAATCCGGGCACAATGCACTTGCAATGTATCCGTATGATGAACCAGATCACAATGTCTGCATTGCTCTTTCGCTCATATTCTCGCAATCAGAATGTGTTTGCGAGAATTTGAACGAATCCGGGCACAATGCACTTGCAATGTATCCTGTATGACTGTGTCCTGATCACACGATCAGACAATGCAGTCTTGTCGGTCGAATTCTCGCAATCAGAATGTGTTTGCGAGAATTTGAACGAATCCGGGCACAATGCACTTGCAATGTATCCGGGTATGATAGAACCAGACACAATTGTCTGCATTGCTCTATCATTTCGCTCAATATCCTCGCAATCAGAATGTGTTTGCGAGAATTTGAACGAATCCGGGCACAATGCACTTGCAATGTATCCTGTATGACTGTGTCCTGATCACACGATCAGACAATGCAGTCTTGTCGGTCGAATTCTCGCAATCAGAATGTGTTTGCGAGAATTTGAACGAATCCGGGCACAATGCACTTGCAATGTATCCGTATGATGAACCAGACACAATTGTCTGCATGCTCTATCATTTCGCTCATATCCTCGCAATCAGAATGTGTTTGCGAGAATTTGAACGAATCCGGGCACAATGCACTTGCAATGTATCCTGTATGACTGTGTCCTGATCACACGATCAGACAATGCAGTCTTGTCGGTCGAATTCTCGCAATCAGAATGTGTTTGCGAGAATTTGAACGAATCCGGGCACAATGCACTTGCAATGTATCCGGGGTATGATAGAACCAGACACAATTGTCTGCATTGCTCTATCATTTCGCTCATATCCTCGCAATCAGAATGTGTTTGCGAGAATTTGAACGAATCCGGGCACAATGCACTTGCAATGTATCCGGGGTATGATACAACGACACAATGTCTGCATTGCTCTATCATTTCGATATCTCGCAATCAGAATGTGTTTGCGAGAATTTGAACGAATCCGGGCACAATGCACTTGCAATGTATCCGGGGTATGATAGAACCAGACACAATTGTCTGCATTGCTCTATCATTTCGCTCATATCCTCGCAATCAGAATGTGTTTGCGAGAATTTGAACGAATCCGGGCACAATGCACTTGCAATGTATCCTGTATGACTGTGTCCTGATCACACGATCAGACAATGCAGTCTTGTCGGTCGAATTCTCGCAATCAGAATGTGTTTGCGAGAATTTGAACGAATCCGGGCACAATGCACTTGCAATGTATCCTGTATGACTGTGTCCTGATCACACGATCAGACAATGCAGTCTTGTCGGTCGAATTCTCGCAATCAGAATGTGTTTGCGAGAATTTGAACGAATCCGGGCACAATGCACTTGCAATGTATCCGGGGTATGATAGAACCAGACACAATTGTCTGCATTGCTCTATCATTTCGCTCATATCCTCGCAATCAGAATGTGTTTGCGAGAATTTGAACGAATCCGGGCACAATGCACTTGCAATGTATCCTGTATGACTGTGTCCTGATCACACGATCAGACAATGCAGTCTTGTCGGTCGAATTCTCGCAATCAGAATGTGTTTGCGAGAATTTGAACGAATCCGGGCACAATGCACTTGCAATGTATCCTGTATGACTGTGTCCTGATCACACGATCAGACAATGCAGTCTTGTCGGTCGAATTCTCGCAATCAGAATGTGTTTGCGAGAATTTGAACGAATCCGGGCACAATGCACTTGCAATGTATCCTGTATGACTGTGTCCTGATCACACGATCAGACAATGCAGTCTTGTCGGTCGAATTCTCGCAATCAGAATGTGTTTGCGAGAATTTGAACGAATCCGGGCACAATGCACTTGCAATGTATCCTGTATGACTGTGTCCTGATCACACGATCAGACAATGCAGTCTTGTCGGTCGAATTCTCGCAATCAGAATGTGTTTGCGAGAATTTGAACGAATCCGGGCACAATGCACTTGCAATGTATCCTGTATGACTGTGTCCTGATCACACGATCAGACAATGCAGTCTTGTCGGTCGAATTCTCGCAATCAGAATGTGTTTGCGAGAATTTGAACGAATCCGGGCACAATGCACTTGCAATGTATCCGGGGTATGATAGAACCAGACACAATTGTCTGCATTGCTCTATCATTTCGCTCATATCCTCGCAATCAGAATGTGTTTGCGAGAATTTGAACGAATCCGGGCACAATGCACTTGCAATGTATCCTGTATGACTGTGTCCTGATCACACGATCAGACAATGCAGTCTTGTCGGTCGAATTCTCGCAATCAGAATGTGTTTGCGAGAATTTGAACGAATCCGGGCACAATGCACTTGCAATGTATCCGGGGTATGATAGAACCAGACACAATTGTCTGCATTGCTCTATCATTTCGCTCATATCCTCGCAATCAGAATGTGTTTGCGAGAATTTGAACGAATCCGGGCACAATGCACTTGCAATGTATCCTGTATGACTGTGTCCTGATCACACGATCAGACAATGCAGTCTTGTCGGTCGAATTCTCGCAATCAGAATGTGTTTGCGAGAATTTGAACGAATCCGGGCACAATGCACTTGCAATGTATCCGGGGTATGATAGAACCAGACACAATTGTCTGCATTGCTCTATCATTTCGCTCATATCCTCGCAATCAGAATGTGTTTGCGAGAATTTGAACGAATCCGGGCACAATGCACTTGCAATGTATCCGGGGTATGATAGAACCAGACACAATTGTCTGCATTGCTCTATCATTTCGCTCATATCCTCGCAATCAGAATGTGTTTGCGAGAATTTGAACGAATCCGGGCACAATGCACTTGCAATGTATCCTGTATGACTGTGTCCTGATCACACGATCAGACAATGCAGTCTTGTCGGTCGAATTCTCGCAATCAGAATGTGTTTGCGAGAATTTGAACGAATCCGGGCACAATGCACTTGCAATGTATCCGGGGTATGATAGAACCAGACACAATTGTCTGCATTGCTCTATCATTTCGCTCATATCCTCGCAATCAGAATGTGTTTGCGAGAATTTGAACGAATCCGGGCACAATGCACTTGCAATGTATCCGGGGTATGACAGAACCAGACACAATCCTCCTCATTTTACTTTCATATCTCTTTTATTTTCTCTACTTAATATTAATAACTAAATATAAATAAATCTTCCAATATCATTTTCTTTATATTACCAATGTTAGAATATTTTCAACCTTAATATTGCATTCATCATCAATATAAACAAAAAAATCTAAATCGAACGCACGACCTTTCTACTCTTCTTTACCGATATACTACAAAGCAATGGAATTTCCCAATCTATTTATTCTATATAATCATTCATCAAAGATTGGTGATTCCCCCGTGATTTTGTGTATCTTCTTTCAATTTTCTCTCATCATTTACATTTTTTGCTTTTTTATTTTTTCATTTATATTCTATTACTAATATTTCTTCTATTCTACGATTTAGATTTTACATAAATACTTTTCTAATTCCAAATTTCTAATTTTATAAAAAATTCATAAAATTTTCCGATCTTTTCCTCAGTGATTTTATATTTCATTTTCCTAAGTTACGTTTCCTTAGTTCTCATAACCGATATAATTCCCAATGGCCCCCTTACGCACACACAGAGTTTCAAGCCAAAATCAATGTTAGATTTTTGTTGGACACCCTTTACACATATTAAAGATTTTTCATGAACTAGTTATCAATTCAATCTTATGCTTTAATTGCTTCTTTTTTAAGTAGAAGAGGCATTTTACGAATAGTTTAAACAAGTTGACTTATATGTGTATATATGAATGCAGTTCTAATTTTTAATAAATGGTTTCTAGTGGCATCAACAATTAGATAACAGAATGCTACATCATATACTAGAGTAAGAAAATTCTAAAATGATGATTATTATATAATTTTTCCAAAGAATTCAAAATGATCTGTCAACAAACCACCAGAACTATGAATGGATTTTAATCTAAATCTGATATAACGATAAAATGGTGATTGAGAACAAAACCATGTATGAACTTTATCGTTCCCACCCATTTCGGTGTTGTTTGGCTTATCATCAATCATTTCCCATTGAGTAAAATCATTACTTCCTTCTATTGCAAAATCTACAGGATACTCCCAATAACTCTCTCCATCGCGCGATTTAATTGTATAAGCAGAAAGAGAAACTTTTTTATCCTTGAAATCAAATGAAACTGAATTGTTTGCTATTTCTTTCAAATACCATTGATGATTTTTCTTTGTATATTCAAATAAATCAGAATTATTTCCACCGTTTCCTTGTGATGTTGAAACAGATACTGCACCACAATCAAGCGGATTTTGACCATTGTTTCTCATTCTTAAATAAGAAAATATTCCATCGTATGGATTTCCAGAATAATTATGAGTTGCCAGTATTTCATTTTCTTTTCTCAGTTTATCTATTTCTTGTTTTGAAACTTCTGTTTCTTTTCTCAGCTTATCTATCTCCTGTTTTGAAATTTCTGTTTCTTTTCTCAGCTTATCTATCTCCTGTTTTGAAATTTCTGTTTCTTTTCTCAGCTTATCATTTTCTTGTTTTGAAAAATGACATTCATGAGTAATTGTTGGGAGATAAGATATGATGTATTGAGAAATTGTCTCATCTGTAATCTTTGCTTTTATATAGCAATTGACAATTCTGATCTTTGTTTCGATAAACAATTTTGAACAATCAATATTAAGAATCAAATTGAAGAATAATGAATTACTTTCAATTAAAGAAGAAATAAATTCATTAAAATCTAATGATTGTTTGAGGCAGGATCTGATAATATTCTCTGCAAAATTATATCCTAAATAATTACACACTTCAACTAACTTTGGTACTCCAATGTTAGCAATGTTTTGTGAAACAAATGTAATAAATTCATCTTTGTAATCGCAATACTTGCAATAAATAATGTTCTTGTCGAAGTTTTCTAGTGAAAAGTTAGAAAGTTCGAATTTTTCATAATAAAATTCAATTAAATCCTGACATTCAATTGAAAGAGCAAATTGAAATAAATCAGTATTAATGCTATCGGTCAAATTATTGTTTGTTAATTGACCAAGAAAAAGATCTTCAAGAATTTCATATGTTTTCTGATCTTTGATGCTGCAATTGAATGCATATTTATTGGAAACATTCCCACGGTATAAATCATTCTTAACTTTATTACTAATACATGAAAGAAAGATAAAATTTGATTTAAAGTTTTTATTGTTAATTCTGATATCGATAGGATAAGCCCAAACTCCGGGAAGTGTTGCAACATTCTCAGCTAGTTTCTCCCATTTGATTCTAGGCATAGGAAATGATTTTTGTTTATTGTCAAATTTTTCCTTGACTCATATAGAATAAAGAAGACAATCCATGTGTAGCAGGAAATAAAGGTTTCTTCATAGAATGTAATTCTAAGGTTTATTTTTTGCAACACCGAAATTTAATTTGAAAATTCAAAGAGAAAGCGCACGTTGTAGATATGGCGATAGACAAAAAAGTTACAAACATCATGCTTAAACATATTCATAGAATGAATCGATCTAGAAATGGTTATTATGTATTTGCAAGAAATAAACGTAAAAGAAACATTTTTTACAAAAATAAAATCAATCAAAATGGAAATCTATGACACTAAAACAAAGAAATAATAACAAAATAAAATTGTTCTATAAATCGGCATCAGTAACTTGGAATGTAACTGGAGCCTTACTTCTATTCTGTCTCTGATTCTTAAGAGCTGCCTGTGCTGGGTCTGCGCTTTGATTCATCACCAAAAGATGGCGATTTTCAAAACGACGAATAGTTTCTCCATGGTATTCTTCTATTGCACGTCTTCTTTCTAGTTCTTTCTCGGCCTTCTTCATTGAAGGAAGATTTAAGAGTGCAACAGGTTTTCCGTATTCGTCCTGTTCAGATGGTGGAAGAGGAGCCTTGAAATTGCGGATAGCTTCTGCAGATGAATCTGCGCATGCTCCAGGAATATCAGATGTCTTCAGGCTAAAATCTGTATCTTTATTTCTGGTTTTGTAATTCGACTTTTGGATGCCAAAATCACGTGGATATGTTTGTCCATCGTAGTAGTAATCTGGGAATAATGGATTTGTTTGACGTCTAGTCTTAAAAACGCCATCATTATTAATGTCGCTGACATCCATCTCGTGATGATCAATGTACTTACCAACGAGATGTTTTGGAGCTGCTCCTGGGATATCATCGACTTTGAGAGTATCTTTTGGAGGTTTATCTGTCTTATAAGACTTTGGATGAACTCCTGGGATATCATCGTAGTTGATGTTGTCTCTGATGAACTTTGGAACAGGTATTGGCTCCTCTTTGTATGATGGAAGATCATAAACTGGATTTTGTGGGTTTGAGTGTCTATTTGAATGAGGAAGACTTCGTTGAATAGATGGTGTAGCGCCTTGAATATCTTTAACGCTCATAATGTCTTTTGGTTGCTTTGTTTTATCAACGTTTGGTTTTGATTTGGAGCCATCAATATCATCTGGGTTGTAGAAATCGAAAGATGATTTCTTTTTCGGAGGACTTGGTTGTGCGCCTTTAATATCATCTGTACGAAGTGAAAAGTTTTGACCTTCGGATCTGACAATATTTTTCGCTTTTGGTATTGTTTGCATTGTCATTGAATGCATTTCAGATTCACCACCAGTAAAATCAAATACGATCTGGCTTTTATTCTTGTCGTGCGTGTAACGACGTGCCATAATTTCGTTAATAACGATTATTGTACGTTAATTGAATATTCTCATGAAAATAGGTTTCAGATCTTGCAGCTGACAATAAGCAACACCTCAAAATATCGCTATTTCAAATGTAACTTCTGATAAAATATCAAAATAACATGATTATTGAATGTGAATATATGAATTCTATGAATGAATTTCATTATCCCTTCAGTGTTTTCGTGAAAAAATGGAAGATATGTGAAGCATGCTGCTTAACTAAGCTTAATATAAAATATATTTTTTTTAATAATCTGCTACTAATTAAATAAATCATTGAGAATGAACTTTAACCTTGAAATGTAAGATCATTTTGAGCTAATCTTGAAAAATTCATCCAAATTATTTCCATCTGAAGGAATGATTGTATATTTGGGGAAAAAAATCGATATTATAAAGTAAATATTAAATCTATTTTATTAAAAACAAACAAAAATAATATAAAATAAAAAAATTCATTGAAGAAGGGAATATCCATCTCTTCTATTTTCAGATGTGATATAATAGAATGCTGTTGCGTATGTCAACACAATAGCTATGCACATCGAAAGTAATGCGAATGTAGCAAACGATCTTTTTTCAATTTTTTCTTCAGACATCATCCAATATTTATCAGTTGGTCTTGGAGTTGGATCTGGAGCTGTTCCGCAGTAGTAACCTTTGATTACTTGCAGGCCGAAGAACTTCTTATGCTTGAAATCCTTCTTAACGTGAATTTCCATTTCATCATTCACGAATGAAGGTAATTTCGTTGTTTGATGGTCACCATATCCGCAGTATTCGAAAACTGTTAATGATGAACATCCAACGAAACAAGTTTGATCTAATTCTACTAAAAGAATTGGAAGAGAAACTTCAACTAAATTAGTGCAATTATAGAACAAATAAGGTGGTAATACTTCTATATTCGTTGCTGATAAGTCAATCTTCTTTAAATTCTCACAAAACATGAAACAACTTGATCCAATTAAATTTGTTGTTTTTGGCAAATTTATTGATTTAATTTTCGTTGAAGCAAATGATTCAATTCCAATTGTATTGATTGATTCGGGTAGTAATACTTTCTTTAGATGCTTACAACCTGCAAAACATTGATAAGGAATTGTTGTTATCGATGTATAACTCAAACAAACTTCAATCAATGAATGACAATCTTTGAACAAACATCTTTCAATGTTAAATGTTTTTTGAGGAAGAATTATTTTTCCTAATTTAGTTTGCATGAACGCACAAGAACCTATTGATGTAATATGATCATTAAAATATATAATCTTCAATGAATGACATAATGAAAAACACTCAGCAGGAATCACAGAAACTTTTGAATTTCTCAAATCAATTTCCCTTAAAAATCTACAATTTCCGAAACTTCCTGATCCGATTCTGCTAAGAGAAGGAGGTGCAATAAACTTATCAAGAGCTGTTCCTACTAATGATCTCGATCCCAATTCTTGTAATGATGTAGAAATCATCAATGTTTCTAAATGTAAACATCCTTCAAAAATAGAAGAACTAAAATTAACATTAACTTGAGAAATATCAACATAAACTAAGTCAATGCAACTGGAGAATATTCCTTCATTTACTTCAGTTGTTATATGAGGAAATTCAAATGACCTAAAACCTGTATTCGAAAAACAAAATCTGCCAAAAATAATTTCTGACAAATAACCGTTAAATTCAATTTTTCTCAATTTCTTACAATTATAGAAACAAAACTCTGGTATATAACTAACCCCTGACTGGTCAAGATTAACATGTACTAAGCTCTGGCAACCGTAGAAACACTTTGGACCAAGGTTATTCAAATTTTGGCAAATTGGAAATTTTGAAATATTTGTCAACGCAAAAGCTTCCAAACCAATTGATTTAACCATAATTGGCATTGATATATTAGTTAAAGAAGTGCAATGAAGGAAAACACCTTCAGGAATCACTTCAATTTGAGATGTACTCATTGAAACTGAAATTAAATTTTGGGAAGAATAGAAAGCATATTTTTTAATTGTTCTTAATGTATCAGGTGCTTTAAACTTCCTCAAATTAGTAAATGCGAAACATTGTTGGTCAATTGTTTCCAATTTATAAGGGAATATGATTTTTTCAAGTCTAAAACAATTCAAGAAACAAACTGCAGGTAATAACTTAACATATGTTCCATTTAACATAATTATTCTTAAATTTGAACATCCTTCGAATGCTTTTGGTTCAATTGCAGCAATAGGAGGTAATTTAATATCAATTAATTTCGTAGAATAACAAAAACAGCCTGTTTTGATTGTATCTATTCTTGTATTTGTCAAATCAATTCTATCTAAAAATGTCAAATGAGATAAAGCAAATTCTCCTAATGTTTGCAATGATTTCGGAACTTTAAAGAGTTTTAAGGCACATCCGTAGAAAGCCGATGAATCAATGATAGCTGTCTCTTGAGAAAAATAAAATTCTGACAATCTGGAACAATTTGCAAAAGTGTCAGAATAAATTTTTTTGATGTTTGTTTTAGACATATCGAAATGTTCCAAATACTGGCAACCAGCGAAAGCAGCTTCATATACATCATTTATTGATGATTGCAGTACCGTTTTACGAAGTTTAGTATTCCTAAATGCACCTTGTTTTATTGTTTTTATATCAGAAATTTTCAAAACTTCCAAACTCGTGCAATTTGCAAAAGTTTCTTTTTCAATTATTTTGTAATCCATGCATTCTAAATCTGCTGTTTTCAACTTCGAAATACTTGCGAATGCGTATTCAGAAACGGTCTTGATATTAGGTGGGAAGTGTATTTCAGGGAAGTTGCAGCCATAGAAAGCCCTGATGCCAATTGTTTCAAGAGAAACAGGGAAAGAAACAGAAGACAAAGAATAACAATTATCAAAAGTAAAATCTTTGATTTCTTTTATAGCTGTTTGACTTAAATTTATACTGTACAGTTTCAAACAGTTCTGGAAAGCGTTGAGACCTATCGATTCTAGTTTGGATCCAACACTTATATGTGCAACACGTCCATTGGCAAAAGCGAAATCAGAGATGGTAATAAGGGATAAAGGAAGATCTAAATTTCCGCAGTTTGAATTTCGAAATGCATCTTTAGGAATGGTTTTTACGGACGCGGCTGAGAGATCGAGACTGCGGAGATTGGATGTATTACAGAAACAACCTTCTTCAAGAGTTTCTAGTGATGAATAGATACCAATTTCACTGACGGAACAATCTGCAAAAGCATTTGCACGAATGATGGTAGTACTTTGGGATAAAATGATTTTCTGGACTTTATGGCAACTGTAAAATGCTTTTGGAGGAATTTCTGTAAGTTGGCATTCAGAAAAATCAAATTCATGAAATCCACTGTATGCAAACGCTTCTGTTTCGAGTTTTGTAAGTTGTTTGGGTATCTTTATATGAGCGATATCTGTGTTTGCGAATGTTCGTGATAAAACTGTGGTGATTTTACTGGACATCCACATATCTTTTAATGAAGGACATTCGTAGAAGGCCTTTTGGTCTAATCTTGTAATGATTGTTTGTGATAAGTTTGCAATTGTAAGATTATAGCAATTTGATAATCCATATGGTTCAATATACTTCAAGTTAACGTATGGATCGAATATTTCTATTTGTGTATAATCAAATGCATATGAACATACTCTGTAAAGCGTGTTAGGCAATTCTATGTATTTCAATGTAGAATTCGCAAAGCAACCATACGGAATTTCTTCAATATTTGTTTGAGACATTTTTATTTTGCTGATATGTGTATATGCAAAAGAATAATTTCCGAGTGTACGAATATCTTCTGGTAGTGTGATTGATTTAAGTGTTGTATTAAAAAACGCATAATCTGAAATCCGATTTATAACTAAAAGATTCTCTCCATCTTCGACATGTCGAGGAATGATTATTTGTTCTTTGATAATCCTATCTAAAGGAGCAATTCGATTTCGAAATCCTGAGCCAATCTGTAGATAGCCTTTACCATTAGAATATGCTTCAACTTCAACATTTTTAGAAACCTTGACAATAGAAACTGGCTTGATTTCGGCAGGATGCACTTGTGCTGTAAGCAAAAATAGCCACAAGTGCATCCAAAATTATAACTTATTTCATATATTAAATAAGATATTTGATATTTTATAAGTGTTTAAACAAATATATTTTGTTTTTTATTTGGGCGCGTAAAGGGTTGGCGTCCTAAGGCGTCCTGATGTAAACTATTCAATTTTTGAGAAGTTTACACCATAATTGAATAGTTTATGGCGTCCTGAGAGGAGATTTCAATGGGTATGGCGTCCTAAAAAATAGAAGAAAATGATTTTTTCTCGATTTTTCTAGAAATTGAATTTTTTAAAAAAGAAAAAAATCAAAACGTATACATTCAAGAAAGACTATAAATGAAGATTTTTCTATTTTTTTTCATTCTAAAACATCTTTTTTTGGATAATTTTTTTTTTAATAAATATGTAAGAAAGATTGAAGAAAAAGTAAATTTACTTTAAGAAAATTCGTTTTACATGATGTAAGACCCATAACAACTATAAATATTCAATTATTTAAAATAAAAAAAGAAAAACAGATTAAATGTATCTCACATCAAAATCCATTGACCTAAGGATGTTAAGTTTCTGTTTTTAAAAGTTGATATTTTTTTTTAATTTTAAGAAAATTAATAGCATGTTATTAGACAATAGGAGTGTAATGATATTGACTAAACAGAAATGAGAGAATAGAGATATAATTTTGATAAGCAATATTGCGAACAAATTCTGAAGTAAAATCGCGATCAATAATTGAAAATTACGATCATGTACTGAAAAATGACGATCGAATTGAATGAATAGAATTATATCTAAGAAAAAATAAATTGTATTTAGAAGATGAACAAAGAAAGGTGTATGCTAAAAATCATTTAACAATAAATGGAAATAAAACGAAATTGTTAAAAGAAAAAAATGAAAATTGTTAAATAATATATTATTTTTTAGTCATAAGAATAAAAATATAGTAGTTATAAAAGGAATTAGACTTCATATATCAATTCTTTTTCTCTGTAGATGTGGAACGTTTGCTTTTCGATCTCTTTCGATGAACTTGAAAATATAAGTTATTATCGCTGAGAATCCTTTCCGAAATAGGAGCTTTACGTTTAGGAGGATTGTCGGATGAATTTTGTTTTTTATTGTTTGATTTTGTTGTTATGGAAGATTTTTTCTTATTTTTTTCAGAATTTTGCTTGCTATTAACTGAAACTTGTTTTGACGGCCCAACAATAGCATTTGTAGTAGGAAGAATTCCCAATAACGAGCGCATTTTCGATAATTGTTTTTCAATATGATCAAGAAGGTCCAGCTTATGTTCTAGATTACTAGACATTTGATTTGTAGAAGGATGGTTTTGATTTTCTGGTTCTAAATCTGTAGAGTCTGCAATATTTGAATTTTCGGAGCGAATTGGAGCATCTGAACCTTGATTTGTATCGGCTTGCTCAAAATTAGTTTGAATTGGAGTGGATGAATTAAAATCTGGATGATTTAATGTTTCATTAAATAATGCCATAATTTTTTCTCTTTTTTCATTAATAAACTTAGTGATCATTGTATCTTTATCTGTTAGATCGATCGATTTGAGTATATCTGCATCATGAACTGGAATATTTTCGAACAATGAACTCGATTCTATGGAACCATATGGAGAAATCTCGTTCTGAGCCAAAGAAAGATCACTTACGTTGTATTGTTTGATAGAAAAAATTGTTTTCTCAAGTTCTTTTTGAAAGCAGTCAAGAATATAATTTTTGTAGCTATCAGTGATAACGGTTTTTATATGGCGCTCGATCTTCTGGTTATTTTTGATGGCGTTATATTTATCTAATTGGATTTGAGATATCTTCTTAATAGCTTCATAAATGTTTGGATGTTTTAACGAAGAAAATTCTGAATGCATACTCTCGAGGCAATCATTAGTGAATATTGCAGTTGCATTATTATATTGAGATATTAAATTGTAGTGCGGCAACCAAACTTTGTTGAAATAATCAATATAATCTTTGATCGAATCAACTTTATTTTGATTAATTATATGCATTGTAAGTACAAATTCTTCATGAGACATGAATGGAGTAATAGAATATAGCTTAAATAAAGAATTTTGTAAAGTATTGAAATTTTTTGTATAAAGTGCTACAAGTTTCCTGTGTAAAGCTTGTTTGAAATGAAATAGGCATCCAATTATACGGACTTTAGGGAAAATTTGTTGAAGTGCCTCTATCATTCCCTTTTCAAAATCACAATGAATTTGAATTAGCTTTGAAAATTGAATACTCTTGACAGTAAAAATATATTCAAATGCCTTCTTATAAGATTCAAATGTGCGGTTTTTCATGAATATAAATAAAAGTGGTAGATATTGATTTGCTGAAGGTTCACAAATCATAATTGTTAGCATCTGTCCTTTTTTGAAAATGTTTTGGTGTAATTTTAAAAGTTCCATCGCAAAATAAATCTGTGGCTTCTTTTGCAAATTGAATTGCCTTCTCAAAACCAAAAAACATCGTCTCACAATTTGATTGAAAATCATGGCCATGAAAAACTGCTCGCCATTTATTAAACAAAAATTAGCAATTTCATCGTCTGTAATTTTTTCTCCAACAGAAAATTTTCTGGACTTATTATAAACTTCCCTGACCAATGAATCTTTAATTAATGGGTTTTCATCAGTACCAACAGCAAGTTCTGTCATAAATTTTTTAATCTGCTGAAAAGTGCCGTTGTCTTCAGAAAATTTTGCCATTGCCTTATTGTATATTTCTGTCAGAGTCATTGATTTATGAAGATCATTTTTTTCATTTTGTAACTTTTTAAATTGTCTGCATTCGGGTATATGTTCCTTTTGTAAATCTTCGGAAAACTGAACTGTTCTCAATTTTAACTAAATAACGTGCTTGACAAGAATGATCGATGCAACGGTAGTAACGTTCAATATTATTTGAATTAATAATATTTGTATGATCATGCGAATAAAGCATATCTTTGCGAACAATTGTATCAGGATATTTTCCAGTAACTGCGGGAATATTTTTAACTGCAATATAACTAAAATATCTTCTGACAGCTTTAGATTCATTTTCGGCGTATTTAATATTAAAATATTGAAGAACTTGTTTGATTATATTCGTTTTTTCATCTCTCGATGTTGATTTTTGGTATTTATCAGATTGTTCCCTGATAAATATTTTATTTTCGTCTGTAAAGTTTGCTCTTTTTTGATTAAATATAGATGATTTTCCCATTAAAAAATGAAATGATGCAAAATTTACGAAAACCGTTCGAAAATTGAATCAAAAATGAAAAGTAATACTTAAATGAGGAATTCTTTGAGATATTGGTCTTAGATTGAATGTAGCGTTATTCTTATATAGAATATATATTCATATCATCGGAAATATGATAAAAAGCATATAATAAATGTCAAAAAAGTGAACAAATAAGCAAAGATATTTTTTAAAAAACAATGAAAAGTAATACTTAAATGAGGAATTCTTTGAGATATTGGTCTTAGATTGAATGTAGCGTCACAAATTTCACAAATATAATTTACTATACAATTTTATTCATTTTTTTAAAATGGCTGACGACAGTCTGTATCAACTAACTCAACTAGTCAAGCATAATGATTATTCTTCGGATTCATTAAATCAACTTTATCAATGCATAAGTACAATGACAGAAAGATCAATTGGATGCTTGAATTGGGATAAATTTTTCAAAAAAATCACAGTGACTGATGAAGTTCTTTTACATTTTTTAGCATCCGTTTTAAACATTGAAAAGATATTGTTGTAAACAGAAATTCATCAAAAGTGACACCTCAGAAAAGCTAAAATATTGAATTTTTGGAACTTTTGATAGAGCACGTTTTTAAATATTAATTAAAGTAAATGTCTATTTTGTAAAGATTCTTTTTAATAAAAAATAAAATTTTGAAGAAGAACACAAAATCTTCTGAAAAATAATATCACATAAACTCATATTATTTTCTAATATATAACTATTTTATATAAAAATCAAATTCAATGATCTTAAAAGCGAAGGATAAACCTCAAAATTTACGAATATAATGAGTGGGAATATAATGCTTATCTATCATAAAACCATATGAAATATTCCCACTCATTATATTCGTAAATTTTGAGGTTTATCCTTCGCTTTTAAGATCATTGAATTTGATTTTTATATAAAATAGTTATATATTAGAAAATAATATGAGTTTATGTGATATTATTTTTCAGAAGATTTCATTCTATATGCCTATGAAAAGTACTCTCAAAACCAACTTTTTCCTAATTATAATTAAATCTAGAATATTGTATTATGCTTAGTATTATTTCATTTTTCTCATTCAATTTAGAATTTACAAATGTCAAAAAATTGAGAGCTGTCACTTTTGATGAATTTCTGTTTATTACAATATCAGAATGTTTCAAGGATTCTATTTTTTTATCACAATATTAATCTTGAAAAATTCAGTAATTTAACTGAAACAGAACAACAAACAATTTTAAATTCCTACAAAGCGGATAAATTTACATATTACATAATGTGCTCACAAATTGTAAAATCAAACTGGAACAATTTATCCCAAACTTTAGTTAATATTGCAAATCAATATTTGCCATTTTTAGATGAAGAAAAGCAAATATATATATTTAAAAAAAAAAAAAAAGGTATTGGGGCTTCCAGGC